AGGAAAGGCCTTGGGCCATAACAGTAGGTACTGCATGGGGGTCGTGAAAGTTTTGGTTGCTTAGACTTTTTTTTAATGCATTTTTTTCCACTATTTGAAATGTCTTTAAATGCACATTAACATGAATTCAACAGACTTTAGTAAACAGATAAATGGAGGCAGAAGATGTCTTTAAGTCATCAATGCACACATTAAGCGACACACAGGAGCTCTTTCAAGCTGGGCACTGGGCACCATTTCATTCTCAACACCTGTCCCATCAATGAGGAATCAGAAATACTTTAATAATCCCAGGGCTAATTTAATCTCATTACATTACTCCATATGTAATAGAGTGATTATAGGACCAGTTCGATATAACACAATTTCATAGAATATATATAATTAGGGGGTCCCCGCTCCATCTCTCCATCCGTTTGGGGGTCCTTGGCCTGGAAAACGTTGACCCCTGCTTTACAGAACAGCTGAATTTTAACAAATCACTTTCATTTAACAACTACCCACTATTTTTTGTTAGTCTTTCTAAAAAAATAAAAAATAAACTAAAAAAAATGATATAATCAGTTAGGCTGAAGTGCCTGAGTAAGTCATCTGGTATGGGGAGAATGTTTGTTGTATAATCAATTGTAAAAGCAGGTTTGCAAATGTCCTCAGGAATCACAAAGTCTGAACATTCAACAGGTGTTCCAAAATGGTTTCAGGTTTTTGTTGTCTGGATTAACTTTGTAGCTATTTTCTGACTTTTGCTTCCGAGTTGAAAGTCTGAAGGCACAGCCTTCTGCTCTCTACGGATGTGGCTTTATGGAGAGCTGCCTCTCTGAGTGCGTCACATTCTCTCCCTGCCCCCACTCACTTTTTTCTCCCAACAACAGATCTTGGTAAGTGCACGTGCGCGTGCGTGTCGGTGGCCGCGCGCCCATACGGTAGCAAATCGAGCGCAACTAGTCTGGTGGTTTCTGCCAGAGCCGAGAAACGGGAGTGAAACCGGAAATGACGCAAGGCGAGTCTTCAGATTAAGAGTATGTATTATATAACTCGCATCGGTTTGTAGTTTATAATCAGTTTATGTGCACAGGTGTCAAAAGTACCGACATTATTTACTTCAGTAAGAAATATCACAAAAATAGCTTAATATTTCTCTTTGGTTCACAATTTTCATAGCAAAAACCTAGAAAGGGCTGTCTAGTTTTGCTCTTAGTTGAAATTGTCAGACAATAAAAGAGTTTTAGAGCTCCGGTTTTCACACAATTAAAGTTGCAAGTAGTGTAAAATTGAGCTCTAAACATAATAAACATATAAATCTGAAATCTAATAAATGGGGGAATATCTTGTGTCTCACAATATGAGCCATCAACTGAAATGTTTTTCAGTGGCCTGTCTTCATGTTTTTTTTTATTAGCAAACTATGCTCTAACTGGACAGATTATCTTCCTGATTTGCTGTTTTGTTACAATATTTAGTTATCAATATGTAGAGAAGTAACAAAACAGTTTGGAGAAGGTAAGGAGAAGAAAGTACAGACAACTGTGTTCAAAAGTAGTGAGTACAACTAAAAAGTTGCCAGAAAAAAAAAGCTACTTAAGCTACTTAAACACAGTACTTAAGTATTGCCTGGTTCTGCTGGAGGTTTCTTCCTGTTAAAAGGGAGTTTTTTTCTTTCCACTGTCGCTACAAGCATGCTTATTGTGAGGGATTGCATTCGAATGAATGATTCGATGCAATCAACTGGTTTTCCTTAGATAGAAAACTTTGAATCAATTTGACTGTATGATCTGTTGAACTGTAAAGTGCCTTGAGATGACATGTGTTGTGAATTGGCACTATATAAATAAACTGAATTGAAATTGAAACTATTTGTTGGTATTAAGTATTTAACACCTCTGTGCATGTACTTGACCCCTCACACCCCCTCCATGGACTGTTCTCCCTGCTGCCCTGTGGGAAGAGGCTTCGCAGCATTCGGTGCAGGACCAGCAGATTCTGTAACAGTTTCTTCCCCACCGCCATCCGACTGCTGAACTGTTGAAAACTAAATCATGTCACAGACTCTGCATCACACTGATAACAGCAAACCAAAAATCCTACATATTTTCAGCATATATATTTAATGCTCCGATTTCCCATATCAATGAGTTTTTTTGCACCATTTTTTTCCTCCCACATTGTTTACATTTGATCACTGCTGCACTTTATGGAATGGAAATGTTCATTTACAGTCTGGGAAACTGTTCTAAATAAAATTTGGTTTTATATAAACTGTGTGTATACAAAATGACAATAAAAATTGTCTAAGTCTATGATTGCTGTCTATAATCGATAGTCCTACTTAACATCTTCGCATTGTAAAGAAAAGTTTACAACTCTCATAGATAATCTAATATGTATTTATTGATTATTGAAATAGCATAAATTTCCTGTATAGATTAACATTTGAGGAGTTCAGTGTGAGAATGTATTAGATTAAACTGATTTAAAAAATAAGCATGATATAAACTAATCTGCCTATCTGCTTCTCTGATTTTACAAAATTTAATTCTTAACACAAATAAAATAATTTTTGCCTATACTTTCCATTTTTCTAATCACACAATGTAGTGTGTAGATAGCAATAACGTTTCACAGGAGTAGACCTTCCTATTCAATTCTATATTACTCTGCATATGTTTTTCTTTTATTATGAAAGGCAGAACAGGAAATGGTTTGTTTTGCTTTATTTTGACTTGACAGCTTCCTAAGGCTGGTTCTAGTCCTTCTAGTACCTTGAAACCACTCCCTTTGGGCTGACTTCGGTACCGACATTACTACGAACAGCCGGACATTACGATATATCCCACCTACATTTATTTGTTAAACAAAACTTTAAAGCCAATTGAACCTTTCGGTCGTTTTTAACAGTCAAACTTTTTGCTCTTGGAAATCTCCAGAAACTTTTTTCGTTCTTTTCTGTGCGGACTGACAGAGCAGCATGGTGTTAAAGTCGGAAGAAGGAGTCGGTGAGTAAACAAGTCAAAGAGACATTTTGATCAGAACCATGAGTTGATCTATATAAAGTTCTATATAGATAATTAACCTTGAAGCAGAGGAGAGGAGGCGTCTAGCTATTTTCTTATTTTCCTCACTTCTCAAGTTTACTCATTTTATTCAAATTGTATGGTTATTTTTAATATTTACACTTTTATTCCCCCCATCGCTTATATTTTTATCAAGCAACTAGTTAACAACACATATAAAGCAAAACAGAAACGTATTTCTAGTGAAAATTCTACCTCTTCCTGTTAAAACACACTTTCCTGTCTGTGCTCAGATAGTTCGGACACTTTTAACTAATATTCTCCCTTTATTTATTTTTTCTTTGTTTTTTAAATTTTAAAATTGTATTTTATTAAAAAAAAAATAAATAAATAAATATTCTCCCTTTATTTTTTTCTTTATTTTTTCTTTTTATTTAAAGAACAAGAAAAAGAAATAAATATTCTCCCTTTATTTTTCTTTATTTTTTTATTTTTTATTTTATAAAAAAGGAAAAATAAAATAAAAAAATATAAATAAATATTCTCCCTTGATTTTTGTTGCTTTATTTTTATTTTTGTTATTTTTGTTTATTTATTAAAACTAAAATTAAATGAAAAAAAGTATTCTCCCTTTCTTTTTTGTTCTTTTTTTTTTATTATTTTCTTAATCTAATAATAAATAAATAAATATTCTCCTTTTATTTTTTTTTCTTTATTTTTTCTTTTTATTATTTTTCAAATTATATTTTATTTAGAAAAAGGAAAAATAAAATAAATAAATATGGTCCCTTTATTATTTTTCCATGAATGCATAGCAACAAGTGGGAATGACAGCACCTCATAGATAAAGTCATTGTTTTACATTTGTCTTCATAGTACAGCAATGTTAACAACAGTTGGAATCCCTTTATTCAGCATTGTTTCAGCGTGTTGTGCCCCTGTAATGGGTGAGTGGGGGGGCCCTTTGCTTTCAGACAGAGGGCCTTTGTTGCTGATGCTTTCATCTCCTTGGTTTAGCCTGGCAGTATTATTAATTAGACTTTGCGTCACTGTTAATCATGTTGGATAATAGTAGGAGTCTGACTGATCCGGCTGGAAGCTTCTGTCCTGTTGTTCTGCAGGCTGGCGCACACATACAGCTGTCTTGTTTTTATTTTATTTTTAACTCGCAGTCAGACCAGTGAGATGATCAGTAGATTCCCTTTGAGCACATTTGTCTCTGCCACTTTAAAGTTGGTGGTCCGAGGGGTTAAAGTAGTTTTCTCCAATGGTTTTCTAATGAGCGGAGCTGAGAGCTCTAATGGGCCCTGTGGTACTGTGGGCCTTGGCTGGCACTAATGCCCTGCTAGTTTGATCATCTTCATCATCTCCCTGTAATCACATTTCTTTCGGCATCAGGAGCCGACCTGCTCTGCTCTCAGGTCATCATTCACCGTGCCCATTTCTAGTGGAAAATGGATTAAGAGAATGAAGCGATAAAATGCTGTCAGCTCAGTCCTTACGTTGAAATATAGTGGTATGAAAAATGAACTTGCTCTCAGATGTTGCTGTGATTTACTAGAAAGACATTTGTGTTTGGAAAACACGTAAAAATGTAATGTTTCTGGCAAAGAAATCCTAATTTAAGGGTAAATTATAACAATCTTACTACAGGCATATTTATTACACCTGCATTAATATCTGGAACCATACAACCTATTGGCTATATTTGCATATTTGGCTTGAAGTCATCTTGAGAGCATCTTTCCTGCTCATTTGAATGTGAACGTCACGCACGTCACTATAAAACTAATCAATCTCATTCCCTAGACATCGATTTTGCAAAAATGTAAAGGAATCGATTCAAAATCGATTAAATCCATTTTTTTTTAACCCAGCCAATCCAGTGTCACACCTGGTGAAAATGTAATTAACCTTTTATAACCTGTTTAATTGGAATTTTAACTGTTAGAGACGTCAGCTTTTATTGTGCTTATAATCAAAGTTTTGTTTAAAAGCAAACATTTTATTTGTTCCTATTGTTTTTGTACTTAATGAACCCCTTTTCTTGAATGATTTTGAACTCTACCTTGAAGTAGTATGGCATAAAGGCGATAGTTTTAGTAAAAACTGATTGTTTTTGGGCTGTTTTTTCACACCTGCACTGAATCATGGTGCAGGTGTGACACGTAAACTCCCAAATATCCCAGATGTCACCAGGCCATGTCCTTAGTTTATATACGAATATGTTGGGAGCATTTCTGATGATTCATCCTGTCAGTATTTACGGCTCTAACCATTTCATTTCAAAGCTGAACATGTGTCCCTCCTTTCTTCCTTCTCTCCTCTGTTCCGTCAGGTTTGTCTGCTCCAGGTAGAGACACGCCTTTAGTTTTGACTTTCCTGTAAGGCCTTTCGGTCTTATCAGTCCTGTCGGTAGACGCTAGAGATTTAAAATAGCAGCTGGCAGAACATCATGAAGGAAAGTGTTTAAACATGTTTCCCAATCTGCTCATTAAATAGAGCTTTACTGTTTTAGGGTTTGGCCGAAATGTATTCAACTGAGTCATTTTAGGATGTTAAAGCCATATTTTAACACTTTTTTTTAACATAGAAATGCAAACCTTTTTTTCTGAGGATATATTTTATATTACAAAAATCTTTGGGGGTAAAAGACAGGCTATATTTATTTAAAACACTTATTTGGATAATTTTTTATTGTTGTGTAAGGTTGAACTTTTAGTCCTCTACACAATAAACAGAGCAACGCACAAACAGGAAGCTGGGAGTTTGACGAAACACTCAACCGGAAACAGGTTTCAACACTTTTTGTAGGGGTTTAAAACGTCATTAAAGCAAAAGAAAAAAAGAAAGCAGCAGGCGAAGGGAAAGCCATCTAAAGCGAAGCTGCTTGTTGATTAAAACAAATCTTCCCAACTTTTTCCCACCATGTGTTTCAGGACGGGTATTTTTAACGGGGAGGAGGATGTTGACAATAGGACGTCCACTGATAAGAATCAAGGCTAGTGGCATCAGGGGGACAAAGGCGTGCATTGTGGGAAATAGCAGCTCTTCCGCTTTTGAGGGATAACATAGAGAAGAGCTGCATAGAAAACAGTAGCTGCTAATAAAACAATGGATTGTTCCAGAAGGTGATGCTGCACGGTCCATGTCGATGGATCTGGTGCCTTTGAGTTCCTGCATGCATGAAGTTGTTGCACATTTAGACTTTTTAACCCTGTTTGCTTTAGCCTGAAGCTGCACAGTGCAGAGGCCTCTCTATGCATTCTGCAGCGCTGGTTCCCACCCACTCACATCCTCTGGTCCTGACATTCCTGCACCGCATGTGTCGGGACAAGATATCCAGGCATCGGAAAATATGCCAGAAGAAAATTAAACCCTTGTCAATGCTGTTAAATATATTCTTGTGTATGTTGCAATACTACAACTATAATATTCTGCTTACTGTTACATAATCAGTTGAAGTAATAATCCAAATTCTTTCACTGTAAGAAGATAAAAAAAACATAAATAACAAAATAACAATACCTATGTCCTCTAGTCATTCGATGATTGGCCACAACTTGACATTTTACTTTGAAGGGATTAGAAGCGAAAAGAGCTTTGGAGATCATGCTGTGTGCTAAAGAAATTCATTATGTACGTATTTCTTTTAGTTTTCATTAAATTTTACAGTTTTCTCTGTTGTTTCTTATTAAAAAGTATAATAAAAATAGACTCTAATCTCATTGGTTAGAGATTTTATTTTGAAATTCTCCTCCATCAGGACTGATTGGTGACCAGCAGGTCAGATATGCATTTTTTCCCCCATACAGTACATTATAAACTCAGAAATGTATTTTGCACAAGTTTTATGCACGTTAACAAAATTGTCAAAACTATAACTTTAATGAAAGAAAAAACAACAATAAAAAACATCTGGAAATGGTTATGTTTGGGATACACAAATCAGACCTGTAAAAACTGTCTGAATCGGTCAAAAAAAGCATAATTAAGCTTAATACAACAGATCTGAGATCAAATATGCTTGAGGGTAAGGATACAACAGATTTATTTAGCTATATTTTTATTTCAATATATTTCTATAGTGGTTTGTGTGAGAAAAAGGTTTTTCAGCAATAGTATCAATCTTGTTTTTCTTATTGAGTTTTTATTTTTATTTTCTATTAGGTGTTATTTCCCCCCAAAATGCCCATAGTATTTTTTTTTTCTGGGAAATAACAGCACTTTCAGCCTGAGCTGAAACTAAATTTTTGCATTACTCAGGAGGTTTCGTCGCTGCGAGGCGACCGAGTTCAGGCTGCACAGCTATGAGCTTCAGTTTGACTCATCCGTCTCCAAGCAGACATGAGGCAAGCCTGTCTGCTCTGTGCTACAGGAACACCCTGGGCGGGTGGATCACTCATGCTGTAGAAATTTAGTCTGTAACAAATAATCCTGGGAAAATTGCTCAATTTCTTAGGACACATTCCCATTAGATCCTGTTTTACATCCAGCTGGTGTCGAGCAGATTTAACTCAATCTTGTAGGCAAAAGTCATTATGACCGGCCTGGAAATTAAATGTCTTAAATTAAATACTAACTGGGTCTTTACTAATAGTCTTAAGATTGAAAGTTTTATTTATCAGTCAGAGAAAAACGTTCATGATGTTTATTTTAACTTCATTTTAGACATTAGTCTTTGCTCAGCCTTTAACATTATGCAGATTCTGGTATATTTGCTGCTTAAGATCTCTTTTAAACATTAAATGATTTAACCTTTTAAAAATGCACTAAAAGATGCAGTCATTTATGGAAAAATAATGAATCAGTTTCTGGGAAACATCAACGTTTTCTTTTCCATAAAGTCAAACAGGGCTTTTGAGCTAAATATAAAATCTTATTTTTAGTGTGACATTAATTCAAGCAATTCAGCTCAGTTCTGTTTCATTAGTCATAAATAGGATCTCATCCTTTTTTCTTGTCATGCGAGGCTATAAAAC